TATGATGTACTCGAGAGGTCAGTGGCTTTTCCACATACGGTTTACTTCTCATCCTCAGTCATTTACCATTTCATCTGATTCTCTTTCATTTTTTCCTTCTTTTTGCTTGTTTGTCATGACATTCCGTGATTAGTGTCAACTTGATCCACCTTACCTTGATGCATGGGTCCCACTTAGTGGTTTTCTGGACCCTTGTGTGGATATCATTGCTTCATGTCCTATTTTACTCTTTTCGTCCCACACAGTATGTGTTGCATTTACTGTCTACCGGTCTGGATGGGGACAGGCGAGCTGGAGTTATGGTCCCCGTTCCGCAATATCCACTCTATTCGGCAACGACTGCGGAATTCAACCTCTTTCAAGTGAGTATTTTGTGCCGTATACAATCAAACACGATACTGTAACTGTGGAATTTTATATTTCCTGGAATATACCACACATACTGAACCGTAATCATAGGACGGTGCTTTAATCGACAGTTGTTAGATTCTGCACTCCCAGTACACCCGGTCGTTGCCAGATAATATCTACGATTGTCCGCTAACATTCACTACCAGCGTGCTTGGTTCACACCAACCCTGTCCTCTGCAATGTTCGTAACTTGTACGACAATGGAGGATAAGACGCGCTACATCGCAGCTGGCTTGCAAATCATAACGCTTCGAAGCTGTCCCCCGTGTCCTAGTGGCATGACCTGCTGACTGGCGGTGCAATCCGCTGGTAGTCATGGGTTCGAATCCTGATGGGTCCGATTGGTGTGCACTATTGATGATGCCCAACGGGCTTGTAACTGCAGTCTACTGCTTTTCCGGGCATGTGGACGACCATGTGACTTGGAACTAGCAGCAACGCACCCTCAACTAATTAAATCTAAACTTCCCTACTCATTAGTATCTTGTGAGGTTGTTTGCCAAGGAGCAATCTAAGTGACACGCAACTGTTATTCGATTGAATCTCCCTCTGACTCGATGCCACTCGATGGACCGTTATACTTGATATCGTTACAACAAGAGTAATAATGGTGCTATCATTGTGCCCATAATTTAATCTAGTAGAGTGGGTTAAGGCTTCAGATTAACTGATCATTTGCTCTCCTCCATTGTTTTTCTTAATCTTGGATCGGTAAAATAAAACAAGACTATCACCGACAGCCAGTGGACGGGTGTACTTAGCGCGTGCCTGAACGACGTATCAGTCTCTCCCGCGTTGGCCAAAATAACGAACCTAACCGGTATCCTTTTATGTTTTTCTATGCATGAAAACCTCATGCTGTACAGGCTATCGCAGAAGATACTTAACAGCGTCCTATCTGCTGCATCGATCGTGGTGAATATGGGTGAAGATGCGGCTGCTCGCGCCTTCCCGTCCTCTTATACCCCTTCTCCTGCCTTTTCTTCCTCATCTTCCAGTTAAAGTTTAGCGTTTATCATCCTTATTTTCAAACTCCCCAATTTTTGACCCTCCATTTTGCTTTGTTAGTCATTTATCCTATAGTTTCGACCCACGCACATTCGCGGAGCGCTACTTCTACCCTGTCGATGAGTCCATGTCTAATCATGCGGACAAGCCTAGTCATCCGTTTCCAGTTGGATCCTCAACCTACTCACTCAACTGGCATCACTTGCTCGAATACGAGATACTCTATTGATCGATATCTGCAAATTATCGGAAACCCCCCTGCAAAACCCAACCTCTGTGCTCACCCTACATTCCCCTACATGTGACACGGGCACCACTGTCTCATTGTACCTATCGGGCGATGGTGCAGCTTCGAATACCGATCAAGTCGGTGTAGTTATAACCATGGGCTGAATAAGTTTTGGTAGACTGGATCCCAGTCAATAGCCGGGTGTGCGCCGTCCGATTAGTTGACTAGTTGAAAGTTTCCAAGTCGTGCGAAGCCAATAGGTGCCAGTTTGTCATCGCTACCTACGCTCCCACTAACCGAGGCGCTGATTCGATGAAGTATGCCTTCTGTCATAAACTGTACGCGTTCGTGCTTCACAGAAGAAGTGCGGATTTTGTGCTGCTGAATGGAGAATCGTCCTCTGATGAGCTGCATTCGTGGTGTCTAACACGATGTACGCTTCGGTAATGATAACGATGAGCAGAAATACCGGTCTATTTTCCGGCATGTCGCCCGCCGAAGCGTAACATGGCACCCACCAGCATCGGACCATTCATGGACGCAGATCAGCCACATCCTGGTAGGCTGCAGTTGGACTGGGTGCATCTAAAGCTGCTGCACGATTTGGAGCGAAATCATGGACTCTGATAATGCACTTGTATGTGCTGATCTGCGGGTGCGTTTTGGCAGACGCTCGCGTTGACGCTGTGAGCGCTTAGACACCCGCCAACTGGCGAAACTAGATGTTCTGAATGCGTACCTATGTGCGTTCGCATTGGCGCTGAGTGAGCGTTCACTGGTCGCATTTTCACCAGATATTATTAGCAGCCGCAGCAGCAGCTGTCTTCACGTGGCAAATCTAGTTGCCATTCTTGTCATTGACTCTCTACTCAGTCTCTGTACTTTCTGCATGCTCGTCGACACAACGAGACTCGTAGCTATCTCAGGTGAGAGCTTCGTGCTAGCTTAGACAGAGACCTCGAATTCTGTTGGTCTCATTTTGCGTCCGATATGGAAACACGCTATCCTTCGAAACTGTAGGATAATATTCTTCTGCTACGGAAACGGGTTGCAGGAAACATGGGGCCATTAAGATATATGCGACAGCCTTTCCATAGTCTGTCGAAATGCTTTGAGCATTAGACTCTGAGTTAATCAGAAGTAAATCTTAGGTTGGATACCGGCCAGCAGTTGCGCTGTCGTGCATTTTGATCCACACTCTTGCGTGGAGATCGAACGTGAGATCGGGTTGATGCGGTTTAATGAGGCCGAGGGACCAGAGGATCTCTCTCTAGCCCACTTCAAATTTTAGGCACATGCTCTTGTGGATGATTTACACGATTTATTATCGAAAGTGTGGGATAAGAAACTGTTCTCACCTACTGGAACAGCTCCGTCGTTGTCGCGATCTTCAGGGGGCTCACGTTCTAAATGTAGCCGTCATAGAGGAATCCATCTGATCTCCAGCGCCTCTAAATAATTTGCCTTTGTCGTTCCTCACAGATTGACTAGTACCTGTGAAAGGTGAACGTCAGAATGGGTTTCGTCGAAATCGATTCTGCATTGACCACGTCTTCATTTTACGTCAATTGTTGGCGCACTGTCACATATCTTGGCGACCCACCGTAGTCTTGTTCCTTGACATAAAAGATATCTTCGATTCAATGGATCGACGTGCTCTTTGAGAATCTGTAGTTAAGAAACGTGTGTCTGTGAAATACTTAGCAATATGGGATCGCTTTATGCGCGTGGTTCGGGCAGAGTGAGGACATATGCTGAAATATCTCCGTCCTTCAATATCTCCAGTTGTTTGAGGCAGAGATGCTTGCTGTTCACTTTTGTTTTTAACTTGTGCACTGAGGAATTAACGAAAACCGTGTTCACTGGACACGACTTTTACTTTGTGGAGCAGCTCCCTGGTGAGCAATTTGGAGTATGCCGACGATATTGTCCTCATCTTTGACTGTTCACAGAGTGCTAAACACCACGGAACAGATTAGTACTGATTGTATATCGTTTCGGTCTGTTCTTTGCATCCTCCAAATTCAACGCTTTGCTGCATGATTAACAGTAACCGAACCTTTGCTTTAACCATTAGTGGAGATCACGTAGATGTGTTTCGGAAATTACACTGCCTGGCCATTTGTATCATCACCGTGCAATCGAAGATGAGATCACGTACCGGATACCAAAATATTATGGCGTTTTTGCCCATCTCCGCCACCTGTAGCGTCGGCGCGACATCACGCTTGTCCTGAGGAGTAGAGTGTACAATCCAACTGTTCTTTCAACTTTCCTGTACGGTTTTGAAGCGTATCCATCAGATCGACAGATATAAAAAGGCTTGTTATGTTCGCCCACCGGTGCCTTCACAACTTTGCTGACATTGGATGAGAACACCATGTGAGCAAAGAGTGTATTCAGTAACCTGTTTGCCGGCGCAACTAGGGCACCGCTCAGCATCATGCACTGAACTTCGATGACTTCACCGTGTATTATGCATGTCAGAACACCGACTCGTGTGACCTGCGCTGTTTGCGCGACCTGGGTGTTGGTGTTGGATGAGGGTGAAATACTGGCCAATGTCTTGCTTATTAAGAATGACGGTTCTCACTTTCCTAAATTGGCCTCAATTGGTGCTTCCGACTTCCGGGTTGGAGTCCGATGGACGATGAACTCGTTCGGTTGGAGGCACTTGTTTACGACGTGAACAACCGACTCCAAGGGCGTCTATGCCGTCAGTTTCTCTATCCCTCCCTCTCACTTAGTCTCTCCCCCCAATCACGATTTCGCCGATAATATACAATATAAAACAAAACTTTTTAATATTTTCTCTTATTTTTCCATTCCTATTTTACTACTGTCTAATTGAATTCTGGCAGAGTAAATGGGATGTCTAGTGTGTAGATTGAGTGAGTAATGATTGTCATCGTGGTAGACACTAGTGATGCTCAGTTGGTAGCCATGGTCAAAGACCTGAAGCCGTCTGCAATCCTTCAGCCGGAGGGATGAATTTTCATTGCGTTAGAGCAAAGTGACTCTCACTTTGAGTGAGCGAATTCTCCTTTCACTTCCACGGGTGTCACTGATTCACGACTGAAGTTTTGTCTTTTTCATGAAGTAAGCGGTCATTTGGCCGTCTCCGTTGTGGCATCTGTCAGTATAGGCGAACGAACTAATTATCTGCAGTTCCTCTTCATTAAGACTTAGCCGGCGGATTTATGACTTGTAGTCCTATTATAATAGATGAGAATATTCCGGTGTACTTTCTGAGCTGAAGTCCTCGCGGACTACATTCAACTTCATTTGAGACATTACGGCGCATTACCGGATCGGTGACCATCTACTAAGCTGGATCGTCCACTTTCTGCAACGGCAATTAGTGGCCAGAGTTCGCAGCTCTTCACACAAGTTGTGTGTGGTGTGCCGCAGCGTTCAGTTCTAGGTCCACGATTGTTATTAATGATCCCGCACAGGAAATCACTCCAAATTCCCTACTGTTAGCCGATTATATCAAAATTTGGCGCAGGATTCAAGTGAATGCCGACCAGCGTCTGCTTCAGATTGACCTAGCCACAGTATATCAGTGATCAGTACAAAATTTGCTGCATTTGAACTTGAGTACATGCAAGGTACACTCCATAGAATATCAGATCAGTTATTCATGCAATCTCGGGACGCAAATAATTCAGCAATCTTCCGTCGAACGGAATGTGAGTGTGCTGGCTCAAAATGGCTTAAGTTGTTCCTGGTAATTCGAAACGGCATCGAAGGCTGGTAGCCAACACATCGAGCTGTTGAGATGGGCGTTCGGACAAATAGACACCTATTTTTTGCTAGATGCTCACTGCTTAAATTGGCCTCATGTCGAATACGCCATTCAAGCCTGGCATCCATGACTGAAACACGACCGTAATGCACTGGAGCGGCCTCGACGTCGAGATTCCAAGTACGTCATTGGGGTGCGCAACCTCCCATACAAGCAGAGGCTGAAATGATTTGGGGTATTCAGCTTATGATGTCGCCAATCACGAGGCGACCTGATAATACCATACTTGATTTTACACAATCCAATTCATCTGTGCCATTCTTTACTACAACTCAGCAACAAAAGAAACGTGGGACGGCACTCACTGAAACTTGCAGAATCGTATAACTGTTCGGATAGTCGCAATGGCATTAACCTAACGCTATTTGTGACAAAATTACTGGCCTCGATTCTCCTTCGTCGCCTCACTGTGGAACGGGAATCTCGGATTAGGGAAGAGCAAGCCGGTTTCCGCCCAGGACGTGACTGTATAGACCATATAATCATTTTGCAGCAGGTGCTAAAACATCACCACGTAAACCGCAGACCGATAATAGCTGTGTTCCTCGATTTCAAGCGTGCGTACAATTCAGTCGATCGATCAATGCTGTTCAAAATACTTGCAGGGAAAAGTGTTCCCACGGAATATGTGCACATCCTAGGGCTCTATACTCGAACACTACGGGCCGCATCAGGGTCTACGCTGGCCTATCGGATAACTTTCCGACCACAAGTGGCGTTCGTCTGGGTTATCCGATTTCCCCATTTCTGTTCAATTTCGTCGTGGATTCTATCATGGGATGTTCCCTTGCGGAATCTCACGATGTAGGTGTTGAAATGCTTGCCTGATGAAAGATTGGTTAATCTTGATTATGCGGACGATATCGTCTTGCTTTTCGACGATGTTGCGGCGGCACAATCAACCTTAGTTGGCCTATCTAAACAGGTCCCATTATTTGGTGTGCACTTCGCACCTTCAAAGTGCAAAGTGTTGCTGCAGGACCACCAGCCACTTGATGACTCCTTGACACTTGTTAACGAGAAACTCGAGGTGGTTGGTCAATTCACTTATCTTGACAGCTGCATCAGCAACGATGGTCGCATAGAAACTGAAGTCAGTTCACGCATTGCAAAGGCCAGAGCTGCCTTCTTGAACCTGCGGCATCTTTTGCGACAGAAGCGAGTTTCCCTCCGTCTGAAAGGCCGTGTATACAAGACCACAGTGAGGGCCATCCTGCTCTATGGCAGTGAGACTTAGCCCCTTCGATCTGAAGATCTGAGGCGTCTTCAACTCTTTGATCATTGTTGTCTGCGAAACATTGCTGATGTCGGATGGCACCAGCCTGTCCGCAACAGTGATGTGCTTAGGCGAGTACTAGGTGGTGATAATCATGCTGGCTCCCTGGAACAACAGATAGCACTGAATAAGTTGCGTTGGCTCGGGCACCTGATACCCAAACATGGTCACCGCTTACCTAGGAGGGCCTTGTTTAGTCTGCCAGGTGTAGGGTGGCGCAAGATTCGTGGTGGACAGTAGTTGACTTGTCAGCGGGAAATGAAGTTACTGACGACCAAACTTGGTGACGTTGGTCCGTCTCGCCTTCCGGGCAGGAGTCCACGTGACTCCCCTTGTGCTTGGTTCGAGGCATTACAGGACATGGCTCGCAACCGACACCAGCGGCGCGTCTGCTGCCGTCTCCTAATCGGATTGCCTGTTGAAAGTGTGGTGCTGAGTTATCTGCGGGGTAATGGTTGATTATGTCGTGGGGCAGTGAAAGCCGCAAGGAAGCTGTCTCGCCGATGTCGCCTTATCTTTGCACGATAGCCAGCTGTTTGTGACGGTATGTTGTCTACACAATGTGTAGGCGCCTTGACCCTGAATGTTTGCTTAGGGCATTAAGGTTTTCAGCTAACTTCTATTTCTCTCCCTCTTCTTATTCTTTATTACATAAGTCCTCATGGTTATATGGAAGCGAAGCATCAGTTCAAATGGCTGATGGACTGCGGTTGTTGTGTTGCGTTTGTTTTGTTGAATAGTCGCGGGTATTCCTTTTCTATTCTCGTGTGTTACCCATGGGACGATCCCTCCGAATCGGTCGTCGCTACACCGACAGTAACAGTATTTTAAAGACGCTTGGGTGAAACACTCATCCATATACACTTTGTTGTTTAGCACTGTCTCCATTCTACTCCTGGTGTGTACCTTGGTTTTATTTGTTGTTACTTGTGGGTGCTGTGAAACTACGCGGATCGCAGGACTACTGCATAATAAACAATAAGTCCCTCTTTTCATACTTGAAGAACTAAGTGTTTTACTATCGTTTTTCGATAACCCCACCAAACCATCCAACGGGACTTGTAAAGCATTGCTCCGTAACCCGTATAAATTCACCGGCACCGGTGACTGAACAGCTTGTTTGGGGTATGGTGCTGCACCATTTTAGCATAGGACAGATCTGGACAGGAAGCATGAAAAGCCGCAGGAAATCTGTCCCATGGCTGCCATATGTTCACACGACAACCGGTTACTTCTGAGCTTACGATGCTGGCAAAGCGTGCACATCCTTCTCTAGCATGGTTACATTCGGTCCCCTCACTTTGTCTGTCCTCACCAGCATCAGCTTTGCATCAGTACAAAGTACCGGCTGATGGCACCGCCCCGTAATTGCTGATCAAGCTGACAACAGTGTCAACACAGCACAGATAAACTATTTTCCCAGAGTTGGACTTCACCAACTATATAGTGAGATCTTTTGAGAGATCGCTTCCTGATCTACTCTATGATCAGATTTAATGAAACTTAAGGACTGGTACACTTCTGATGAACGCCATTTACCATGTGAAGACTAATCGAAAACCTCTGGCGCGGTATTGGAACGTGTCTTCCTTTGTTGAGTAACAAAATCGGCTGCACCACCCAAACTCGGAGACTGTCATCGCGCCTTGGCGAAACCAGCGACGCTTTTGCATAAATTTTATTATGGCTCTCTGAAGGACACCGGAATTCATGGTGAGTGAAGAAGAGGTTTTTCCCAAAAATCTGGTAAACTGGGTACGTCTCGTAAAATAATCTTTCAACAAAAGAACAACCGAAGTTTGAACTCCAGAACCGGATAGATCGCGTAACAGTTTTTCACGGTCCACACAACCGAAAGCGTTGCTAAAATCCAGGAAGCAGTTGCGGATGACTGCTTTTATTATCCAGTGACATAAGCACGGTATGTACCAGGAATGCTATTGCATCTAATGTTGGCCTTAACTTGCTAGATGTAAACTAATGAGGGTTATCCGAATGCTTCTGGACTGAAATTATTTTGAGAATAATCCTGTCAAAGGTCTTCAAAGCAACCGACATGTAGGCTATTAGCCGATATTTGTGGGTTCAACTGAGAAAATAATCCCTGAGATGACATCAGAATCAAAAGACAGTTAGGCGAGCAAGCTTGCCTTCGGTGGTTCGCATCAGGCCAACACACCACAGATGATAGGAATAAATCAACCACAGTGTATTTAAATACAATGAATCAATGAAGTGAATTGACCGGTTAATGCGATCAAGTGACCACACTGGCTTGGGCATCATTAGTGGAAGGGTCAAGCGTGGTGTCGTAACATGGGGAAGCTTGAGGCCATGGCAGTTGTAGAGCCTGTACAAACTTTTTTGGGCACATAATTCGGGATTATGGAGCCGAATAGCTATTGCTTCCGCTGTCGCCAATAGGCGACATCGGAGGGCTCGCGTCTTTCTTTGGCACCGGCCTTATGCTTGCATATCAGCAACTATCAGCTATTTTGTGTTGCTTGAAGCACAATGTGCACAAGTCGGCGAGCGGTTGTGCCAGATAAGCTACACACTCATAGATGGATAGGCGTTTTTCAGAATTTGCGCATCTCCAACTCGAATTGGATTAACTCATTCGGCTAGCGAGGCCTTTCACGAATTTAGCGTTCATATTCACACAGGTCCAACAACAACCCATTCGTTGGTCATAATTTTGTTTGTTTAGCGCGAATATTGAAAGACTGTGTCTCGTAATCTATTTTTGCTGCTGCTCTGTTGTTTACGAGATCTTGGGAGTGGCGGTTTACACAGCCGGAAGCAAGCGCACTTGGACTCGAAATGGAGTAGCTTTGTTGCTTATCTAACACCGAGATCAATGTGGGCACGAGGCGCACCATGTCGCTTGGTCTTGGTCCGTAATTACGATAAGGAACATGTTAGTGATCACTTGGACGTGTCTGAGTCCTTCTGCTTGCATGGACATCTATAAAGTACCTAACTAGCTACCAAATCGCACGCCATGGTGTGACTTTTGTTTTTTCCTTTCTTTGGCACTCACGTGATACTGGCAGTACCACAACAATTCTGTGTTGTTTTAAGCACAGTACGTACAATTTCACTAGAGGTTGCGCCAAAAATTCAACGCATTTTTTGAGCACAAGAAGCGATAATCTGTTCAGACCGCGCGATTTATCGGAATGTGGCTGGATTAACTTCTTGTGCAGATGTAAGTCGTCGACTGACAATGAGTTTGTAAGCCACTTACACTGGAGGTATGATGGGTCAGCGATTGCATCATCACTAATGTAGCGAAAGGTACTGTGTAACGGATTCACACTCACACCAGAAACTGTAGTATGACGAGTCGGTCGGCATAATTGTTTCACCATCGTTCGATTTAGCTCAGTCTCCGAGTCGTCGCTTTTCTGAACGTCAACTCTTTGGAAGTCACTCGCTTTTATCCACATGTCTATAATTATTCCATCAACTGGTAACTTTCACTTTTTTAAGCGGTTTTCCTATCCATCCGCTTTGTTGTCTGTAATCTCGCCAAGCTTCACTCAACCTCAAGTTTATTTGGGAAACATCATTATGAAGCACCAGAGTCTATTCTACGTCTTCCTTATAGATCAGCTACTATCTGGACGAAGCTCGAAACTGGGCTTTGAATCTGGAGGAGCTCACAAGGGCACTGACTGAGGCACAGGGCAAATGCATCCCTCGTGCAATCGTTGTGATCAATCCAGGAAACCCGACTGGGCAGGTCTTGTCTCGAGAGGGTATGGAACAAGTGATCCGCTTCGCTGTACAAAACCGGTTGGTTTTGTTGGCTGATGAGGTGTATCAGTTCAACATCCATTATCCGGAGCGTTATCCTTGGACCAGTTTCAAACGCGTACTCCACGAGATGGGCGCGGGCTTCTCTGACCGACTGGAATTGGCATCCTTTATGTCTTGCAGTAAAGGATTTATGGGAGAGTATGTTTTACTGATTCGCTTCGGTAACTTGTTAGTTCTTCCTCGGCATTACCTTGATACTATTGATCTAACATTGTGTTGTATTGTGTTTGCGACTGATGAGGACAATCGAAATGTTAACACATCGCAACATATGTCTTCTCACTGCTCTGACTAAATGGCTGAAGCGGACCCACTGTTTTAACATAAAAACGTCGTTCGGTTCATATCATTTGCCTGGCTAGACATCGCAAATGCCGTGCCAGTTTGGCTTCCATCGCAATAAAGCTGGACCTAGTCGTGCGATCGTTTTCATGCCTCAACGATCTATTGAGCTGTCCTGGATGGTGCTTCTTGCACCTTCACAGTCACTCATACCAGATTGACAAATGGTTAAGATCAGACAGAATCAGTTACCTGGTCTCCAGATTGTGAGTTGGAGCGAAAGTGCTCCTTATTCCTTACAACAGACTCCCTCTAGCCTAATGCCCAGATCAGGCTGCTTTGCAGTTAGGTTTTTGAACCAAAGGCTTTGGTTGGTAACCCTAATGTTTCTTCTGTCATGGCCTGGACTACCTGGCAGCATTCCACCCAAGCAATTCATTGAGCTTTTCCTTAAATATTTTTTGTGCTCTGGCCATCGCAGATGATTATCAACGGCATGCTATCCGCTACATCGAGCGCGGTGTATAGGTTAAAGGTGCGACTGCTCAGACTTTCCCGTATTATTCACCCTCTTAGGCTTTTCACCCCTATCATCCAGTTCTAACTACATTTTATCTCTCCTGTTTTCAACCTCCAATTCGTTTACCTCTCCCACCTTGCTTTACTAAGCGTTTATCTTCTAGTTTCAACTCGCACGCAAACGCGGAGCGTCACTCCTGCACCGTCGACAAGCCCATGTCCAACCAAGCGGACAAGTCTAGTTCATCTGCTTCCAATTGGAATCCTCCATCCACGCTAAGACTCATATGCCTCAATATGTGCACAGATCGGTCAACAGGTAACATTTGCTCGAACACGAGATACCCTATTGATCGATATCTGCGGCTTATCGGAAATCCACCTGCAATACTTAAGCTCTGTGCTCCCTCTACGATCCCTTACATGTGACACTGGCGGTACATTCTCATTGCGCCTGTCTGGAGATGGCGCAGCTTCGAATTCCGACTAGGCTGATGTGGGTATCACTTTAGTCCCCTCTCCAGTAGCCGGATGTGCGTCATCCGACAAGCTGACTCGTTCACAGCTTCTAAGTCTCTTGAGGCTAATTGGTGCCTGTATGCCGTTGCTGTCTACGCCCTCACAAACTGAGGCGCTTTTGGTGCATGGTGCCTTCGATCGTCAACTGAATGGTCTCACTCGTCACAGAAGTGCGGGTTCTGTGCTGGTGGTGGCTGCTAATTTGGACTCACTAAGTTGGAATATCGTCTGCTGGTGAGTTTCATCTAGGTGGCTAGCACTGTGCAGGCCTCGATAGTGATAACGGTGAGCGGTTGCTACATTAGTGTGGAGATGCTCGTCTATTTTCCAACACGCGCGCCGATGGGTAACATGGTACCCACCATCATCGGACCATTCCTGGATGCAGATCAGCCACATCGCGATCAGTTACAGTTGGAGCGGGTGCGTCGAAAGATGCTGCACGATTTGGAGCGTAATCGTGGACTCGGATAATGCACCTGTATGTGCTGATCTTCGTTTTGGCAGACGCCCACATCGACGCCGTAGGTGCATATACATCTGCCAACTGGAAATGCCATAGGTTCTGAATACGTATCGATGTGTGTTCGAATTGGGGCTGAGTGAGCACTCACTGAGCACAGTTAAGGTACACTGGTCGCATGTTCACCAGAAGTTATTAGCAGCAGGCATGTCTTCATATGATAAATCTGATTGCCATTCTGGACATTATGTCTATACTCACTCTCTGTAACTTCTGGATTCTCGCCGACACTGGCTTGTGACGAACACAACGACACTCGTAACTGTCTCAGGGCGGAACTGCGTGCCAGGTTAGAGACCGTGAATTCTGTTAGTCACATGGGACGTGGAAGATGGAAACACGATGTCCTTGGTAGGCCTGGGATACTATTATGCTGCTACGTAAACGGGCAGCAAGCTATATGCGACGAGATTGGACAGCCTTTCCCCTTCTTGTCGAAACACTTACGTTGAGTACCTTGAAATAGGAATCAGCCGGAACCATTAGATTGGCTACCGGTTAGCGACTGCCGTGCATTTTAATCCACTCCCTCACGCAGAGATTTAACGTGAGATCGAACTGCTGAAGTTGGATAAGGTCGCGGGAGCAGGTGAGCTTCCCTCATCCCTTTTCAAATCTGAGGTGCCTGCTCTCATGGATAATTTACATCATTTTTTATTGATAATGTGAACTCAGTAAACCGTCCTAGCCGCCCTAAACAACCTCATCTTTTGTAAGCAGTAGGGGGATTTATAAGGTTTTTTGTAGGTTGGTCGCAGTTAGACACAGGCCGACAGCCACCACACATCCTGGAAAGCCGTAGACGGCCGTTTCGTCCTATTGAAACCCGTCAGTAGCGCGCACCCGCCGAATCCTGCCGGACTCGAACCCACGACCTTACTCTCGCGAGTCAGCGACTTATGTCACTGAGCCATGGGCGACGGCAGCGGACCGCCATGACTGATATCTAACTGCGATATAGCGCGGCTCATCCTCCACTGTCTTGCATGTTATAAATGTGCAGAGGACAGGGTTGGCCCCCAGAGCAACGATTTCCTTTGTCTAACTGCGACGAACCTACACAAAACCTAATAAATCCCCCTATTGCTTACAAATAACCAGTAGTCGCCTTAGCAGCTTACATTGCACCTCGATTGGTGGCGGCTTGCAAAAGATGTCGTTGCTCTGGGGGCCAGCCCTGTCCTCTGCACATTTATAACATGCAAGACAGTGGAGGATGAGCCGCGCTATATCGCAGTTAGATATCAGTCATGGCGGTCAGCTGCCGTCGCCCATGGCTCAGTAACATAAGTCGCTGACTCGCGAGAGTAAGGTCGTGGGTTCGATTCCGGCAGGATTCGGCGGGTGCGCGCAACATGAGTCCCAGTAGAACGAAACGGCCGTCTAGCACTTTCCTGGATGTGTGGTGACTGTCGGCCTGTGTCTAACTGTGACGAACCTACACAAAACTCGTCCTTTTCGCGATCTTCACTGGAATCAATCTGAACTCTATCGCCGTTAAGTTATTTGCCTCTGTCATCTCTTACAGATTGGCTGGCGCATATGAAAGCCAAATTTGTGAAGATCAGAACAGATTTCATCGAATTCGATTCTGCATTGACCACGTCTTCATTTTACGTCAATTGTTGGAGCACTGTCACATATCTCGGCGACCCACCGTAGTCATGTTCCTTGACATAAAAGGGACCTTCGATTCACTAGCTCGGTGTGCTCTTTGGGAATGTCTAGCTAGGAAACATGTGCCTGAGAAATGAGTAAATATTATAGGAACACAGGGTGAGGGCTTATGATGAGTCGTTATCGTTCCTCAATATCTCCACTAGTTTGAGACAAGGATGCCTGTTGTCACGTTTTCTTTTTTCCTTCATCATTGATGAGTTTCTGAAAACTGTGTTCACTGGACACGATTTTTACTTTGTGGAGGTGCTCCCGATGAAGCGACGTAGCTTATGCCGACGATATTGCCCCCCTCTGTGACAACTCAGAAACGTGTCAAGCACCACGAAACAAAATGGCACCGGCTGCTACGCATTTCGATATCCTCTTTGCACCCTCCAAATACAGAGCTTTCTCCAAGTTTGAAAGAGACTGCCCCCTACATTAACCATTATTGAGGATCAGCTAGATGTCGTTCAGAAGTTCAAGTACATGGGCAGCTGTATCGACGCCTAAGTGGTCAAGGATGGGAGCACGAATCATATCACAATACCTTGAGGCGCTTTCGCTCAACTTCGCCGCCTATGGCACCGGTGTGACACCACTCTCACTACAATGTAGTCGTCAATCAGGCGCTACTATACGATTGTGAAACCTGACCCATATGCTGAACACACGTTAAGCGGCTTGTTATCCTCGATCACCGATATCTTCGTGGCTTAGCTGGCATTTGATGAGTACACTATGTGTACGAAGAGCGTGTTCGGTGTCTTGTTTGTGGCGCAGGAAGAGAAAGTGATTTGCTCAGCAACATTATTTCCCGCACCAGGCTTTGATCGTCTAGTCATGCGTTACGCATACGGGCACACACTGACTGGTGCGACGTGCATTCTTTTCACCACCGGCGTCTTGATGCGAACAGAGAAGGAACGATGATTTGGTTAACAGTAATGCAGGCACTTAATTCGAAATTGGCCTCAGCTGGTGCGAGTATATTTTTTCGATCCTTTATTTTCTACTTAGCCTTTCTATCCAACCGTGATCTCAGTTTTGACGCGTAACACCGTTTATCTTCTTGTATTGCTTTTGTTATTTGTTCACCTCATTCTTTTCTATTGCCAACTAATTGAATTGTATTGTGACGCTATTGCTGGGGTGTTTCTCCTCTCTGGATAATAATATTTATGATTTTTCGTCATGCTGCACAAAGCCCGTCCATTGTGTCCTATCGGATCGGCTACGGTCATACTTTCTGTCCCCTCCTGCATGCAGCTGGGCGTTCCGGAAATCTACTCACTAGCTGACCTCGTTGTTCGCATAAGTCTGGCATGAAGAAAAAGTGCCTTTTTCTTGAACTGAATCAGTTATTGTCCCGCTTTTCTAGAAAGCAGCACGTACTTCATGTTTTAATCATCGAAGGATTAGTCTCATTCTAGTTGCCTCCATGTTAGCTGCATCCATTCCGCTTCCTAGACTATCCCCAATACGTGAATCATGCTACCATGCAAGACAAACTTGTTTCCGTCCCGAACGTGGATGCGTACATCACATCTGTAAGCTTCGCCAAATCCTCAAACACCGCCACATTTGCCATAGGCTCACTATCCTCGCATTCCTAGACATATGAGCTGTATTTGAA